TTGAAATGTTCTACATTTTGTCATGTTACAACCAAAAAATGCAAAAAAATATGTGTGCAAAAAAATTAACAACAAAAAATTAGCAGCATCATGTTGTGGGGATGCTTTTCTTCAGCAGGGACAGGGAAGCTGGTCAGATTTGATGGGAAGATGGATGGAGCCAAATACAGGGCAATCTTAGAAGAAAACCTGTTAGAGTCTGCAAAAGACTTCAGACTGGGGCAGAGGTTCACCTTCCAGCAGGACAAGACCCTAAACATACAGCCAGAGCTAGAATGGAAAAGTTTAGATCAAAGCATATTCATGTGTTAGAATGGACCAGTCAAAGTCCAGTTGGTAATTGGAAACTGGTTCCACTGGATTTTAGTTAGGGGTATCGGAGAAAAGGGGGGCTGAATACAAATGCATGCTACACTTTCAGATATTTATTTGTAAAAAATGTTGAAAACCATTTATCATTTTCCTTCCAATTCACAATTGTGTGCCACTTTGTGTTGGTTTATCACATAAAATCCCAAAAAAATACGTTTACATTTTTGGTTGTAACATGCCAAAATATGGAAAATTTCAATGGGTATGAATACTTTTTCAAGGCACTGTATATCATAAAAAATAAAAAAACCCAGTGGTGGTCAAATACCACCAAAAAAAAGCTCTGTTTGTTTCATTTGGGTGCAGTGTCGCATGACTGAGCAAATGCCAGTTTAAGTAGTACAGTGCTGAATAGCAAAAACAAATGCCCTGGTCATGAAGGAGGAAAAACCTTCCGAAGGGCAAGTGGTTAAATATAGATTTTATTTCACACTTTAAATGGATACCAGTGAGAAAAGAATGAATTAAAGAAAACGGCATACCTAAGATACTTGACACTTAAAGCTGATTTTGTTTATAATATGACAATGTTATATTTAGTGACATTAATTTTGAAAGGAAATATGTTAAAAGAAAAACATGCAGTGAATACTGAAGTTTTCTTTAATTTGGTGGTAGGTGGCGAATGCCCCCTTACAATGGTAGGTGGTAAGTGAAAAAAATTGAATTTACATTATTGGAAAGTGGGGTATACCAATGGGTCAATGGGAGAGGTGCCCCTTACACTGGTTGGCAGTGAGAGAAAGGCCACTTTACAAGGGTAGTCAGGGTTTACCGCCGCACGGTGCATATATTATATGTAAGTCATGTTATTGTATGACCCCCCCTTTTTGTAATTACATGATGTAATTTGGTATATTCAACAGATGTATATCTTTTCTAGATTTTACTACTACTAAGTCCCTGAAGAAGCGATTGTTGTTGCTAAACATGTTGGGCCATTCTTCCAGCGTCTTAATGTCTCTCACCCCCCCATAGGACCTTCCTGGTGGATATTGTATGCTCTATCACTAGTTTTGTTCCATGTTAATATGGTGAGCTGTGGGACATTGTCTGTGGGGACATTGTACAATGATTTCTTTTAATTGTAAGATGTGTTTTCATGACTTATTGTCATAATAAAGAACAAATGATTTTACTAATATGTACTTTCTGTGCCTTTAAAGTCCATTTGCAATGTTTCCTCTCCCTTTCTTTCCCCCTTAGTTTGATTGATGAAACTAGGACCTGGCACCAGCATGTTACCTTTTTGGGAGTGTTCTGACACCCGGATACACTCCATTCTTCCCTTCTTTCTGCCTTTACAAGGGTAGTCAGTAGAAACAAATGACTTGCTGTAATAGTGGTAAATTTAAAAAATGCCCTGTAACACTGGTGGTCAGTGGGGAAAATGCCTCATACATAGCACTGGGAGATCAATGGAAAGATTTTGTAGCCAAAGAAAAGAAAGTCTACCATAGAGACAACAATAATGATCATTGGTGTCAGTGAGGCTCCACTGGTCGCACACACCAGGCTCTGCCAAGTGACATTGGTATCAAAACTACGTAGTCATTTCAGGATGGAGTTCAGTCTGTCTGTTCTCTGATCAAAGAACCACTAGCAACCTCGGAGGTAACCATATGATCCAACAGAGCCATATTTGAGAAAGGCTGCTTTTAGTAGTAATTTTTGTTAATATAAATTTCACACATTTTATGTAATGGTTTTCCACCTAAAGCCAACAGAAATTGTGGTCTGCTCCGTTATATATCTCATCAATTTTTATTGGGTTTCTAGCACTAGAGTAACATAAGCTACTTTAAGCCTTATTGAGGCTGATTCATTCACACTGGAAGAAAGGAGCACAAAACTGGAGTTGTCAATAGGAACAGGTCAGCTCCACGTTTTGTTTAATTGAAAAATTAAGAAGAATTCTGATGAAAATGGAAGATAAATCGTTTTGTGCTTCCTTTCTTTTATCTAGTTTAATGTATCAGCTCTATTGTCTCTGTAAACCATTTGTTTCCAAAAAGGTATAAAACTGCCATGTGTCAAGCCAAGACTGACTTAGGCTAGGGAAAATGCCCAAATTCTGTATGTTCAGACCCATGCTCAGACAAATGCATGCGTTAAAGGAAGATAAGAGTATCATACAAAACACTGACCCTGGCCAGACTGAGCTTTTCATCACTAGACAGGTACTTGTAAGCCCAATTCCAAAAAGGTTGGGATGCTGTCTATAATCTACATGTACGACAGGCGGGTGACGCTCCCTTCACGTTCCCCTCCTCATTGGGCATCAAGTATTGGTCACATGAGAGGCCTACCCCAGGGTGGGTTGTTCTGGGATATGATAGGAACCTTGGACAGGGTCACTGCCTTACACATGGGGGTACCTTTACTTGAACAGATGACTGAACTGTAATAAACTGGGAGAACATGCAAACCGCAAGAAGGTGGTGCCATGATTGGGATCTGAAAGTGTACAATCCAAACGCACACGTTCCTGCGTTAAAAATGGCTGTGTGTATAATTGGGTGCTGCAGAGACCGTAGGCTGGAACCGAACAGAATCAGCAAGGGAGAATGTCACCAGCACACCGAGGATCACCAATATGGGTCCAAAAGTTTTAATGAATGATCACATAGTTACAGCAAAGCAACGTTTTGGAGTCTCACAGGACCCCTTCATCAGGCATGTGACATGATTGGGATTTGAATCAACAACCCTAGTACTGCCAGGTGGAAGTGCTAACCACTTAGCCACTGTGGTAAGCTGCAATCAGGGGCGGACTGACCATATGGAAACTCGGGCACTGCCCGATGGCCTCTGGTCAGTAGGGGGCCCCATGAGATGCCCGTGGTACCTTTTTCATAGGCTTTTTTGAGTTTGGACACAGGGGCCCCATGATCCCCTATTGCCCGGGGACCCCATGAGTTGTCAGTTCGCCCCTGGCTGCAATATAATAAATGTTTGGTTTTGGATTTAGATACACTTTAACCTCTTCTAGTCTGGCCCATGCCGATAAATGGCCGGACAGGAGCATTACCGATGTGGGGGAGACATTTCTAAACATCCCGCAGTATCCATTGCCTGTGCATGGGAGTGCGCAGCGCCACAATATGTGCCCACTGTGTCCACCGGACACAGCGGAACACAGATCGCTGTACAAGATCGCTGTGTAAGGTCCCGATTCAAGAAAAAAGAAAAATCTTCATCACTCCCCACAAGTAGTACAGTGTCATTATGGTGACACTGTACTGCTAGGGTGACAGTATGTAAAATAAATACATAAATAATATAAAAACAAAAAAAAATAAAAAAAATTTTTTAAATTATAATTATTTTTATAAACTGATTTGAGTTATTTTTTTTTCTACCAGAAAGATAGCTGAATACATTTTGACCAAGATTTATGAAGAAAGATTATTTATTTGCAAACATTTTTTAAGAAAAACACTACATTATTGGTCTTTTTTATTTATATAGCAAAAAAAATCCCATTGGTGAATAAATATCACCAAAAGAAAGTGTTATCGGTCTTAAAAAAAATGCAAAAAATTTCATTTGGGTACAGTGTTGCATGACCGCGCAATTGTCATTCAAAGTTTGATAGTGCTGAGCCTGGGTTCACACTGATGCTGAATTTGCGTTTTCTGTGCGAATTACACACCGCATCACAATTGCACCCCGTTCATGCGAACTGCTGTGGGTGTGTATGTTAACAACACCCTGAAATTGGTCGTAAAACAGGGTGAGATGTGCAGAATCGTATTGCATGGGTGTAAATACCCATGCGATCTGATTCTAGTGCAGACCAAAAAAAAGCGCCCTGCACCTTTTTGGTGCGGATGCGGTGCGATTGGAGCCCTACAAAATGTATGGCTCCAATTGCACCTCACACAATCCGCATGTGATTTTCACAGAGGAATGCGTTGCGGTTCCTGTGCGAATCACATGCGATATACCGCAACGCATATATGTGAACCCAGACTCAAAGCTGAAAATTGACCTTGACTGGAAGGGGGTGAAAGTGTCTGGACTTGAAGTGGTTAAAGATTGGTAAGCTGCAATATTTTATATTAAAATTAATTTTATTAAATAAAATGATATTTTAGTTTTGGTTTCTTGGCCCTTTAGTAATACTAATATTAAAAAAATGTAAAAACAAATAAAAAAATGGATTATCACTTTAACAATCTGAAACTTCCTGTTAGGGAATGAATGAAGTCCCTAAATCAGAGATTAGTAGCTGCACTTAACACCCATTTCTCATCCAATGTTTAAAGTGGATGGAGTTCCCATAAAAGTCTTTATGTAGGATAAACATTTGCAGACTGTGCTATACATCAGCAGCCCCCAGACCCCCCTGTCCTCCCTGATCTCCTCCCTGATCTGCTCTCTGTCATCCTCCTCCTCACACGTCAACACTTACTTATTTTTCCTACTAAAACTCAGAGGAGGGGAATTAAAAAAAGAGAGAAAAGGGAGGGATGATGGTGGAAGGGAGGGGTGATGGTGGAGGAAGGGAGGGGTGATGCTGACAGGGAGGGTGGCGGAGTACTCAGCGCAGAGCAGTGGGCGGCTGTGATTGGCTGCTGCCCGCCTCTGAGTCCTGTTGTTTGAGGCTATAAAAAGATGAGAGGATGGGAAGCAGCAGCAGCCGAGCAGTGACAAGCTGGACACACGCATCCAGCGGCATCGACGCCAAGCACAAGAGCCATTCTCTCCGTGTGTGGGAACCCGAGCTCACAGCCAGGATGTGCAAAGGACTAGCCGGGGTCACCTCCTTCCCTGCCACCTGCCTGAAGAGGTGAGGCTGCCCTCCGCACACACAACTGACAGCCGCAGAGCGGAGCGGGGTGCGGGGCTTCATCAGCATCTGTCACCTCTCTGGGGGCTGGGCACACGACTGCAGAGCATTGCACCCTGCTGCCACACACTCCACACCATGGGCTCTGTCCTGTCCTATAGGCTTCATTCATCTATACTAGGATCTGCTGTCATAGATATCTGTGCCATCAGAAAACTACAGGACCCCTGGATTGCTGTGATGATGATATATATTCCTGTATTTACTGTATTAGTGCCTACTCTTGTAGTGTAGTATATATATATCTATCTATATACATATCTCTATCTATCTATCTATCTATCTATCTATCTATCTATCTATCTATCAATATATATCTATCTCTGCTCTGCTACATATATATATATATATTTTTTTATATATATATATTTTTTTTTATATATATATATCTATATATATATATCTATATATAAATATATATATTTTATATATATATATATTTTTATATATATATTTTATCTATCGATATCTATCGATATCTATCGATATCTATCTATCTATCTATCTATCTATCTATATATCTATCTATCTATCTATCTATCGATATCTATCTGTCTGTCCATCGATATATATCTATATATATATATATATATATATATATATATATATATATATATCTCTATCAGAGCACAGCATATATATATATATATATATATTTACTAGGATCTGCTGTCATAGATATCTGTGCCATCAGAAAGCTGCAGGACCCCTGGATTGCTGTGATGATGATATATATTCCTTTATTTACTGTATTGGTGGCTATTCTTGTAGTGTAGTATATCTATCTATCTATCTATCTATCTATCTATCTATCTATCTATCTATCTATCTATCTATCTAACTATCTAACTATCTATCTAACTATCTATATCCGCTCTGCTACACACACACACACATACACATGATCCCCTATTGCCCAGGGGCCCCATGAGTTTGTCAGTCCACTCCTGATTGATATATATATATATATATATATATATATATATATATATATGCACTGAGTAATCAATACATTTGCCTTAACTGGTTTGCTTGATCATGGATGAATCTGAACATGGTAGCTGGAAGTTTTTTGGGGGAGATGGGAGCGAAGGGCCCTGTAGATTGCATTCATCTACATAACATAACAATGAAACAGTGAGGAACCTCTAAGATCATTATATTATTATAGACATTTAAGGACAGTCTGACACCACTTAAACAGAAGCCAAGGGTTATCTTAGCTTCTTATGTGTGGTGTGTGTGTAGCATGTCATTGGACATTGATTTCCAACCCCCATGCATTGCCTTATATGGGATTGTTTACTACGTAGTCAGGAATTAAAGCAGTAATAATAATAAAAAATAAACAAAACAAAAAAAAAAAAAAAAAAAAAAAAATGGAATATATTGCAGCTGACCCATTTTTAGACGTGGTGGCTGGATTAGTTTTCTTTTTTTTCCACTTGGTGATTCAGTCAGTCTGGGTTTTTTTTTTTCAACTTACTTTAAGAGTCCCAAGCTGTCATGGCAGTTAGGAAGTTTTGAAAAACCATTTAACACTGATTTACAATTTTCTTTTAGAACTCGTTCACACCAGTGTACAGAGACATCTGTTTTTCTGCACTCAATTTGCAAATGCACAACAAAATCAATTGTTCTCTATGTGCCCTGTTCACACCACAACACTAGTATCACCTACAGATTTTTTTTCTGCCCAGGAATCTGCAACTTGTATAGCTAACTGAAATGCGCATAAAAACTGATGTAAACTAATGTCTCTGCAAGTGAAATCTGCATGTCAGTTTCCATCAGTTTTCATTCACGTACAGTGTGCATGCGTGCCTGTAAACAGATGGAAACTGATACACAGATTTCAGTTTTAAGCTATTAGTCAAGTCTATCTAATAAGGCTAGGTTTACACCTTTGCAGTGTGCATTGGATGCGTTTCTGCAGTGCTTTTTGTGGTGCATTTTGCATTTTTGCACATGAATTTGTGACGTGTTTCTGATGTGTTTTGCGTTTTTTTTTTTTTTTTCAACTTGTTGCTGGACACAATAAAACGCATCAAAAAAGCACTACATGCTTTTCTGCAGTGTCTCCACTGAAGTCTATAGAACCAAAAACGCAATGTTTTGTGTTTAAAAAAGGCATAGATGTGAACCTGTTCCATAGGAAATCATGTTTAATGGACTGCTGTGCATTTCTGCAAAACGCACAACGCAGTGGAAAACACTTAGGTGTGAACCTAGACCAGGGGCGGACTGACAATAGGGGATCATGGGGCCCCTGTGCCCTTGCCCAAACTCAAAAAAGCCTATGAAAAAGGTACCAGGGGCATCTCATGGGGCCCCCTACTTACCCCGGGCCCTCGGGCAGTGCCCGAGTTTCCAAATGGTCAGTCCGCCCCTGACCTAGACTAAATCTGCTAGTGCATCTAACAATGTCCTCTCCACAGGTTGATAGTGCTGCTGTCTAAGGGCTCGTTCACACTTGACTTTATGCCCCTATAGCGTTTGACAGGCGTTAGACAAGCGTTTGGGAAGCGTTTTTAATGCTCCTCAAACGCTCCCAAAATGCCCAAATGCGCGGTTTTGAGGCGGTTGCTAAGCGTTAAAACTGCACCACAAACTCCTATAATGAAGTTAAATGGTATTAAACGCGCCGCAAACCGCCTCACAACCGTGTCACAATCACCTGCCAGGCATTGCGGATAGGCACCATAGACTTGAATAGGAGGCTTCAACCCCTCCTGACTTGACACAAGGCGTCAGTTTTTGCCGTGACGCAACGTGGCGCACCACTAACGCTTCCGTGTGAACAGCACTGTGTGCTGCCATGTGCAGAATTTTCATAGGTGTTTCTGAAGCATTAAAAACACTTCCCAAACGGCTGTCTGACGCCTGCTGACAAAGCTAGTGTGAACGTAGCATGAGGGTGTCTCCATTGCTCCACCATCCAGAGTGAGGACACCCTAAAACAGGAGGTGTATTACTGGATGGATCACCAGGTGAAAATAAAGAGGGGAAAAAAGCCTAAACAATCTAATGCAGCCACCAACCATATTGAAGGACTGACAAACTGCAATATTTTACATTTAGTTGTTTGGTTGTAATACCCCTTTAAGTTGTGAATTGCTAGAATGCTTAGTATAAAGACGTTATTGTTTGTGTGGTTTTTTTTTTTTTCATATATGGCTTGTCTTATTAGTATTTTTTTTTTTTTAATCAAAAGAACCCAGTATACAGAACTATGTGATGTAATGATCAAGGAGATACATTTTAGAAAGTCACACTAGCAAAGAATATTGTTTGTTGTACTGTTAATGGTAAATAGTTTCAAAATTGTATTATGGTTTATGGTATTCCAGTTGCTCTTATTTTTCCTTGTTGTTGGAAAAGTAATGTAAAAATGATGATAGTTGCAACTTTGTATCAATAATATCACTCCTGAATGTCCAGTGCTAACTGCTGGATTTTATGTGCCCTATAGTCTGGGAAGAAACCTGTTTACCCTCAGGTTCTTATAACTACTCAGAACGTGATTGCAGTGACCATTAAACTTTTTATTACCTTTTTATTAGATTTGTTAAAAATGTTTGACACCACTGAAATCATACGGTATCCGGGGCATTTTTTTCATACAGGGTAGTGTTACAACCATTGAAACAATTTATTAAAATTTCCATTTTCTTGAAAGCTCCAAAAAATACTTTTTAAAAACTGCTGTTGTCAATATTGGGAATTATAAGTTGCATAGGCTAGGTTCACACCTATGCGGTGTGCGTTTGATCCATTTCTGCAGTGCTTTTTCCTTTTTTGCACTTGCATTTTTGCTGAGTTTTGCCTTTTGCATTTTTTTTTCTTGTTGCTAGGCAGATTTAAAATGCTAAAAATGTAGCAAAAAACGCAACATTAATGCAGCAAAACGCAGTACATGCTTTCTGCAGCGTTTCCATTGAAGTCTATAGAACCAAAAATGCTAATTTTTGCATTTAAAAACAGTTCCTGATCCTTTTCAAAAAACACACAGGATGAAAATGCAAAGATGTGAACCTGTCCCATGGGAAATTATGTTAAATAGACTGTAGTACTTTTCTGCAAAACGCTGCAGAAAATGCTTAGGTGTGAACCTAGGGTAATTATTAGTGAACTGAACTAGTTTCAGTGTTTCAAATATTATAAGATGTCATTGGTTGGCCAATTTTCAGGAAAATATTCATAACAAAATCACAAAATAATGCCAGGGTAGAATAATTCAGCAGACTGACATATTTGATATTTGTCAGTAAGTTTCAATGTTCACTTTAGCATAAAAAGTAGATATTGATTCACTCTGCTGAAACATGGAATACGTATTTGCAGCTTCCAGATACAGAGCCCTGTCCAGAGGTTCAACTGTCCACAACCAATAGGCCATTATCTGCAAAAATGTTGGAGATTTAAATAAGAAGCCTTAGCTATTTTTCCATCTCAAATTTCACATCAAGGGCTACATGAATACAAATGATAGGGCACTCATTGCAAAAATGTTCAGGATTTAAATAAGAAGCCTCAGATGATTTTCCACTGCAGAACATTTATCAAAGGGTTACATGAATACAAGTAACAGACCACTCTGTGTGTTTGTGGTTTTAAAGAAGAAACCTCAGCTGGTTTTCCACTGCAGATCTCATGCCAAGAGCTGCTTGAATACAACCGATAGGCCACTCTGCAAAAATGTTGGGGATTTCAATAAGAAGCCTTAGCTGATTTTCCATTGCAAATCACTCATCAAGGGCTACATATATTTAATAAGTGATTCGTTTGACAGGTAGTCCACACTGATTTTGCCATACATAATAGATTCACTTTTAAATTTTAAATCAGAAAACATATAAGTGAAATATGTAGAATCAATATGCCTAGAAATACGTTTTTGTTACTTTGATGAAGCATATGTTTGATTATGTGCTCAATAA